TGGGGGAGGGGGTTTGGGGGGACCCCAAGCCCTGGGGACGAGATGGGCGGCGCAGGGTTGGGGCTGCAGGCACCGTCCAGCCACGCTCACCTCTCCTGAAGACGCACGTGCTTCTTGGCAGAGGGACTGGGCTTGTCCGTCTTGTCCATGGCTGGCCCCGCCGCCTTATGAGCTCTGGAGCACACCAAGCAGGCTTGTACCATGCTGCGGCAGCGGCAAAGCCCTCGTCCTGGAGCACAGGGAGTAGACACGGGGGGCCCTCAGCTCCCGCAGAATCAAGGAGCCATCGGAGCAGAAGTGGCTGGAAAAGAAAAGGCACATCTGAGAGATACCAGCAGGCTGGGTGGACCCCCGACAGGTAGTCCCTAAGCAAGGGACAGGTTTTGGGTCCTCAGCTGCCCTGGAACTGGGGCCCCTGGCCTCTGCATCCAGGTGGGTGGCATGGGGAGAGCTCCCAGCATGTTCACCGCCCGGGACACCCACAGCACTGCAGCCCACGCAGGCACCCACTACCCCATGATGGCGGAGCAGGGTCTGGTTTTGGAGGAGGCCAAGATGCTCTCCAGCTCCATGGGAAGCACATGCTGCCGTGTGGCTCCCACCCTTCCCCAGCATGCCTGCTTCGGCCTGGGGATGTGATGGGGAGGAGGGAGAGCTGGGACCCACATGAGCACAGCAGCATTTGGCAGATGAGACGGGGTGGGCTGTAGACACCCCAAGGAGCCTGTCAGCTCCTGCTGTTGGGAGACAGGGGGCCAGGCACCCTCAACAGCCTCGCAGCTCTGGCAAGGAAGACCCTGGGAGAGCCTCCTCCATCCCACAGGTCTCAGCAACCATCAAGAGGAAACTGCTTTATCTGGGTGGTTGAGCAAGAGGCGATGGAGCAGCCCAGCTGGAGGAGGGTGCTAGGGCTCCACGGCCACCAGCCCTGGGACAGCCCCTGGCAGGGATGGAGAGATGCAGGTGATGCTGATTCACCTCTGGGCAGAGCTCCTCATGGGGCCGGCAGCACCCTGGGATCATGAGGCTCCTTCTTGTCCCCAGGTCCCTTCATGAGGAGGAGATGGACCCAAAGGGACAGGGAATGCTGTGGAGTCGGAGCTCTCAGTGTGCAAAGATCCCCGGACCTCATCGGCTCAGGGAGGTCCTGCAGAGAAGCAGGTCCATGCCGTGGCCATGCTGTTTGGGAATGCGGCTGGGGCAGGAGCTGCTCCCCATGACTCCCTGCTGCCTGGTGGCATTTCTGGGGGTAGCAATGCCACCGCTGCCACACACACCATCCCTGCGTCCCCTTGCCAGCCAGGGCAAGGGTGGCAGCTCCCCAGGAGCCACAGCCCCGGGGGGATCCGTG